TTATAACAAAAACTGTCAATTGTAATGAGTCCGTGGTCTCTGACCTTCTGAAGTGGATTCTTGAGTACAATAACGTCTCCTCAAATATGTGAATAATATCTCCTTATCATATTTTGTATCTTTCTTATATTTTGAAAATAAATGCATTTAAAATGTGAATATTGCCTCAAAATTGTTTTTACCTCTTTTTTAGTCCTGATGCCCATCTGTCTACATTGCTTCCTGCTCATTGGTCTATAAATTTTATATTTATTTTTCCTACATCTTCTTTTCCCCTTCTTCATGAAAGTAACATAAGGACAAAAGGGATTTAATTGTGAGAAAGAAATCATGGGGGAGCAGATTGGGAAGACTAAATTGAGTTGTAGGGATAACTTCATTTCAGAACTTTTTTTTTTTAGGGGGAGGGGATGGGTAGGGCAAGGTATTGAAAATAAATTGATATTTATATATATTAGTTAAAGATATCACAAAACATAGCGATAAACACAATATAGAGACACAAAAACTACAGAAACATGTATGAAATAATTTAAAATTGGAGGGGGGCAAAAAGGTTTAGAAGGTAAATTTAATGGTACTCAGAATATAATGATAATATGAAGTTGAATTATGAACGGTAGTTATTAAAATGAACGAAAGATACAATACGAAATAAAATGGATAAATCTGGCATGCTTATTAATTTTCTATATGATTAGGAACTATGCAATTTGAAATTATCTGTTTGATTGAAACTGCCATAAATAGGAGTTATATATTTCAACAAAAAAGTACACACAAACTCCTAGAGTGGGTGTTGCCCTTGAATATTAATTTATTGTTTTTATGTGTTCTAAACTTTGTTAGCCCCTGGTAAAATACAACTTCCACCAATCGGATCTCTGTTTAGCATGTTGGGGGTCTAATTGAACTGAGCATGCGCAGTTCACAATATTTGGCAGATATTATCGCATCATGCATGCGTGAACACTAGTGCTGGTGGTGCTAGCTAGATAGCCTAGCCGCATGCGATTCCCGGTCTGCCGTAGCGTACCCGTACTATGTCTAGTCTCTCTGGTATGTCCCGTATGAATACGTACGTACGTACAGGGCCTACACGGACTTAAAATTTAATGGCGCGGGCCAGGCTCGGCTACGACTGTGAATTAGGTTCTTTTTTTCACTGTTATTTTGAAAAACAACTGTCAATGCACCCGGCCTGTATCTGTGAAATAGTCTTCTGAACATTTCATCCGAAAAAGCTATTATACTATTATAGCCTGTTGAGTGACGAGAGAACAAGACAAGCTCGAGAACTAATGGTGAGGGCGGTATGGCTTCTGCTCAGTGATAGGACCGGACACTGGCGGGGAGCGAGCTCTGCAGCTTCAGCCCTCAGCGCAGTTCAGCACGGGATAGAATTTGAAAAACATTGCATTTGTAAGTAGACCTATTCCTAAAAGTACAGTGCAGACACGTATTTACGCACACATACACAACTAAATTCGAATAGATGGGATAATGAGGATTAATTATTTAACCCATAACAGTTCAGCTTCGCCCTATTATCGTGTTAATCTCTTAAAATCCATGTTAATTGTTGGGTATACATAGATCTATTGACTATCCAATATGTTTACCTTCTACTTCTAGTTCTACAGTTGAATATTTATTTATTATAAATCAATTGCATTGGCCATTGCATGATTAAGATTCTTAGTGAAGCAATTTTCACAGGCAAACCTGCGGTGTATGAACTTATGAATGTGCAAAGTGTGACTGATGAAGCCTGAACTTGTTGCTTGTTGCTGGTCTTTTAATAATTTCATCAAATTCGCCACACCAACATGGCCACGGACGTCTATGCCAACTCATATTTCCCAAGGACTGACTGTAAAGACATGGAACAACCTACAACAAACACCTATCGACCAAACCTTCCTGCTTTCATTTAAAAATGCAGAACTTTTTTTCAAAATGTAATCGTCCACCCTCCACCACCTCCAGTCAAAACTCTACTTGAGAGTATTTAGGAGGAAAAGAATCCAAGATCCAAGATCAAACATGCAATTTTAAATTTTGTAAATCTTATAATTTCATCAAACATGCATTTCTAAATTTTGTAAATGTGCAAGTGCGATTGTACAGTTATGTTTATTCTATGAATATGGGTTTGTAACTTTGTATTGCTGTCGCTTCATGAAGTCGGGCTAACTCGGACCAGGGGACAGCTCGGCCCAGCTGTCAAAAACGGTCATTTTTTGCATGTTTAGGTTTAGGGTTAGGGTTAGGGTTAGGGTTAGAGTTAGGGTTAGAGCTTGGTTAGAGTTAGGGTAAAATGACAAAAAATGACAGTTTTTGCAGCTGGGCCGAGTTGTCCCCTGGTCCGAGTTAGCCCGGATCCGATCTATATGATATGGAGTTTAAAAAACATACCCTCTGATTCTTTGATTTCTTTCAAATCAAATCTGGTCACTGAAGAAGGACAAGTTTAATCCTGATAAAATTATTCAACTGTCCATGTACATTTGTATATCTGAAACTGCACAGCGCCAAATACAAGAGTAACTCACGAGCGGACAGTCGGACACTGAGGGGAAAATAAGTTTTGTATAACTTTATGCCTCCAAGGGTACATGTACATGTATGATATTTTGCATACTTTAAAAAACATTTTCCACAAAATTGAATCCCTCTTTAAAAGAAGTAAACTTTCAGTAGGTCCTATTTTGCCAAAACTTTTTACATACAAGTGATACAACTGTACTGTACACTTTACACATTCACATGTTTTGTGGACATTATGAAAGCTTACCCTTTTTCTAAATCCTAAACCAACCAATAAAATATCCTCTTTTGAAATCCTGAACATTGACAAATTTGAAATCTTCTTCTTCCATTGAGTACAGTCCTCTTTGTAGGGTATCGTCTTACTTGATGTTTCAAACATCCAAGAAAATTGCCTGTTTTTATGTAAAATTTCTTTTACCGGTATGCATATGTATGTAGTTGCATGTACACAAAGTCAATATTAAATGTAAAACGAAGGGTGAATGCTTCACAAAGCTATCACTACTTGGCTCCTGCTCTCACACCTCTCTTTCCGACTGGATCAACCCCTCACTCTTTCACAATCTCTCTCTCAGTTTCATACTTGACCTCCATGTTAAACGTTCCACTACATATACATGTATGTGATGCCACCTTTAAACCTACCTATCCTTTTTGTATGTGTACTACCGACACCTGCACTAACTGCAGTTCTCCAAACTGGAGGAAGCCAAGCCAAGAAGAAGAAGAAGAAGGTACAGGTGGAATGAAGTGCTCATATATTGGGTTTTTCTATATTACTATTAGTGGGTAGTGGTTGGGTAGTGGTTATGAAGCTGCCATCAAGGGAGTGTTTCACAAAGATCCTAAGATGAACTTATCTCTAAGTTGGACTTAAAAATTATGGAAAGCCGTTAGCATATTTGAAAATATTTTGTTAAAGTTATTTTGAAAGGCATAAAATGTTTATTCAAATCATTCATATTTTCTATCATCAAGGAGATTTCATGTTCTGGATGTGGAATTTATAAAAAGTCTGAAATACTTGAATTTCTGCTTTTTAATATATTTTGTTTTATGGCTCCAATGGCTGTCGATAATTTTTAAGTCCAACTTAGTGTTAAGTTCTACTTAGGATCTTTGTGAAACACCCCCCTGGTTTTTAGGACTGTACATAGTACATACATGCATGTATGGAGGGCTTTTTGAGGGAATTCAGCCAGGTACCCATTTACTTCAGCTGGGTTAAGTTTGGCAAGTGTAGATTAAAGTCTTACCAAAGATAGTGCTGTAGCTGAACCAAACTGAACCGATCTGAATTAGATTAAGCCTGTAATGTCAATGGGCCTTGTATATATAAGGTATCTACCGTAATTAACGTTGTATAAACCGCCCTCGTGTATTAACCGCACCCCTCTTTTTCACCCTTAAAAAAAAAAAAAAAAAAAAAAAATTGCCAAGATTTTTTTTGTGTGTGTGTAAGATCATTAAAGTAAATTAAAAAACAGAAGGGGACCTAGGATAGAACCTTGTGGTACACCATGTAATAGAAGAAAAATTGGAGGAATTATTATTATAAACTACATATTGAGATCTATCAGAAAGATTACTTTCAAACCAAGATGACAGACAAATTTGAGTGTTGTTCTTGTTTCCGAGTGGTGAGTCAAGTGTGAGTCGAGCTGGGAGACATTGCCAGGCATAGCACCAGGTGGAGGGGCATAAATCGAAACTTTAAAAAAAAAAAGTGCGGTTAATACACCGTTAATTACGGTACCTGTACCAGTACCAGCTTCTAAGCTATTCCAATATAATCATGATTATTGTAACTGAAGACATATAATGCAAGGTGACCATGTTGTAACCGTCATCTGTTAATCTGTTTAAATGATAATATAGACAGGGTCTTCGTTTTTTACCGAGCAAGAGCAGATTTGCTCGCAACTCCTTTGTTGTTAATATATAAACTCTATAACAGTGTTTCCTGTACTGAATGTATTATTCCTGTCAATGACTACCACGAGGCGATTCCCCTGGTTATTTCCAAATGCCCATTACATAATCATTTCCAGTGGCGGATCCAGGATGGCGCGTGACCCGTGCCCCTCCCAATCTGTAGCTATGCCGCTGACCTTACTCCCCTTGGATATCAATCAAGATCAAGTCCTTGCTCTACGAGATATCAGTTCCCGCGAATCATCTGTACATCCTCAGTGCGTCTACTTTTCATACAGAACGCGAACATTGTACGAAACTCCTTGAGCCGCCACCAGTATATGATACAGTTTGCAATCCAGTTAACACAAATCATGATAAACCCAGCATTAAAAAGACACCCGTTTTCGATGCCAAAACTAAGAAGTGCCCAATTCACCCATGTACATATCCAGCAAAGGACAGTAGTCCCAAAGACAAGACCGAACATACGGAGCACTCTCTGATTCTCCTCCTTCCGTTGCCGGGTGATGTTGCTGTCGCAAGGTACCATGGCAACCGAGCGGTAGATGAAGACGTAACAGAGACCGGTAATGATGGTGGTGGTCAGGGCTGTACACAGGAGAAAGATGAAGACGTTTTCTTGGCGGGCTTTGACAACGGCCGAAGAAATGGAGAGCGATATCGCCCACGTCCCTACGCAGGTCACAATCAAGCGCGGTGTCATTATGATATTGAGGGCGCCGAAAGGGTCTACCCTGATAGTGATGAATTGGTAACCGGTCACCAAAACGACGCTTAACAGGGATACCACGAAAGATGCTGCTATTAATATGAGAAGGAGGTTTTCAATCTGAAGAAGAAAAAAATATTCAATGAAAATGTGTCACCAAAATTCAAAAAAGAATATCGAAATGAAAAGAAAAGAATGAAAATAAAAAATAAATGACCTGCAAAGTTCTGAGAGTTTGATATTCTTGATTGTCCTATCTCTTCTCTTAGTAGCCAGTTATTAAAAGAGTGTTTAGCAGAGAATCCATATGATAAGCTTTTCGAGCTGAAATAAATTATGATTGAAATTAGTTGAGAAAACAAAACAATACATTTATAAACTTTCCGAACAATGACTTGAGCACAAAAACGCATCAAATTATGTGAAGAAAAAAAAATCCCCTCTGGGGCTGGGCCACCCTCATAAAAAATAGACAAATCAGAAATAACAAAACGGGTATAAACACGAATGATAGAACAGACTACTTGCATTGTCACTTGGATCACGGGATATTATAGAGGGTTCGTACAGTTTGTATCATGTATATTTCCATCATCTTTCATTACATCAGTGTTTATTCATTTTAAATTTCAAGCAATTGAATAGTATATTTACATTATATACATGTTTATATTTTTTTCTTTCTTTTAGCTAAATTATAATTAAAAGTAGTGATTATTCTTTTTAAATGACGGTTAATTAGGCCTACCTTTTGAGGAAGTTCGTTGGTCTCTCCAAAAATTACAATAAAAATGGAACCACATAAGTCGGAGAGCGTGAGGTTGTAGGGGAAGATGTGATGTTGCTTACGAAGTCGCTGATGACAAGGGCTAACGATGAGCGTCGTAGTCATGATCAAAATAGCAACTCCAAACGTTGCATGTTTGATAACAGACGATACAGAGAAGCACAATGAGCTCGATTCTTCGCCGACACCAACCAACATCAATGACGTCGTGGTGTTGATATCAATATCCATGGTCATGCTTTAATAATGATGATGGCACACGCGATCAAAGAAAAGGTGAACGTCACCACGATCGGATGATGATATGAGGATTGATTGAAGTGATGAAAACCTGCATGAAGTTGATCGTCACTCAAAGCAACTGACTGGTATATAGCAAGCACCACTCGTTATCACTCGAACTTGGAATGTTTACCAGAATTTTCATTAGAAGAG